TTTTGTGGGGGGGGGGGGGGGAGGGACGTCTTGATATTAAGAAAATAAGGAGGGTTTGCTCTTACGTTGTTTGGGTGGTTTTTTGGTCCTAATTTTTGGGGGTAAAGAGTTTGTCAGTAGCCTGCATCTGTGTATTTTGAGAAATGTTTATGGGGTTTATAAATGGCTGCTATTTGAGCTACTAATATGTCCTTGCTAGAAGTAGTTAGTGGCATGTTTAAAATTGTAAACATTAAACACCTAAAAATTTTTGCCTGCTTTTGTGCTTAAAAGCACAAACCCCCATTAAAATCTTGGGTGTAGTATGGGTTAAACAATAATTTGTTAGTTTCATTTGGTTTTCTGTTTCTTTGAGAAAACATGCTTTAAATTTCAAAGTTTGGCTTTGCCTCTCTGTGATAAATGTGATAATATCTTTACAAAAGCATTATTAGCAAGTTGCTAGTGACTTACCTTAGTGGTTCATGGTTTAGATCATCCTATGTAATTTTATCGCTTTCATTCCAAATATGATGATTCTTTATCATGTTTGAACTGTCAGATTCCATATAAGATAACAGTAACACAGTTGCTTTTAGTACTGTGCAACAGTTAGCAAAAAGTATGGTACCAATCCTACAAAACAGTGTAATGAAAGCTTATAGTGTAAGGCAAGGTATTACAAGTTATGAAGTACAGTTATGAAGCAATTTGCTAATAAGTGTGTAATTCTTGATATTAGCCACATGAGGGCACTTTAAGACTGTGATTGGTAGAACTTGATGCGGTATTGAAATTGGAGACTCTCTCTGTGTTTTTAAGTGCAATTGTAGTTGAATTCCCTTGCTGTTGTATTTAGGTACTCGGTGAAGAATCAGTTAAGGGGTTTTCTTCCTCCTCTCTTCACCTTTTTCAATTTAAGCTTTCTGCTTTTGAGAAATAGTGCATTTTATCCTTTCAAGTGTTTGCATTGCGAATTCTGCCTAACATGAACCAAGAAAGGTTTCATAAGAGTTGACAAGTGAGACTTGTGCATGTGTGTAAAAGGCAAAATAACTGGAAGTTTCCATACATGGAAAAGAGGAGGTAATAATGAGAACTGGGGACTTGAGTGCCAACTTAACTTGTTCAGACTTTAGTGAAAACTCCAAAACAGGTCTCATTCCCAGTCTTTATATAATTTGATGATACTTTTTGTATCTTTTGATAATTGAAATATATCTGATTTGAATTCCTCCAAATTAGTCTCCTACTTACTACTCCTTCTGTGCAAGAGGAGTAGTAGCAGATGCAATACATAAACACTTCAAATCTTTACCTGTCTTATGATAAATGGATTTTTCCTGGAGAAGTCAGCAGAGCAGGATAAATAGAAAATAATTTTCTGCTTGACTTCAGAGAGAAGCTGGGCTCTTGTTGTGGTAATACATAATTTTCTGCAGAATAATTTTTGAGGAAACGAGTTGAATAACAGCATCATAATCTCATTTGTCCTTGTCTTGGAATTCCGGTTTGGTCTTTCTAGCACCTTTGCTACTGTTCTGGCCAGAGGTATGTTGACCACTGTTACAGCTACAGGATGTCAAATAACCTTGTGAATGCTGGAATTTTCTCTCATAAGTCACCTTTGTATCCAGAAACAGAATCTGTTTTGTTGACGGGGGACTGTGGAGGCACACCAATATACTTGCTTTACTCACAGTCTCTTTCAACTGATCTATAGACAAAGTTCTCTTTAGTTTCTGTCTTAATGCTGGACAATTTTGAAATCCAGACGAAGAATCCTTGAAACATATTAAGACATTTTGGAAACAAACACCTGTATACTATCCAAAATGTTAACATAAAATCTGATGTACTTTCAGTTGTGAAACATGCTTTGTCTGTGCATGATTCAATGAGTCCTTTGGTAAACGTATGCTACTCCCAACGGAAGCACCAGAGCATGATTTCAAATTCAGATTTGAATGCTTTTCTTTACACTGTGACCTTGAATATTGAGTTACTCTTTTTATGATGTGCTGGATCAATCATGCTTGACCAAGAATGTACCTAGCAATAAAAACTTTGAGCTGGGTCCCAGTGGCTGAAAGTCAGTCATAATTAAATAGTGAGCTATGAGGTTTTCTTAGCTAAATATCGCTGTTTACCTTGGGATAGCATGCCATTTTTCAGCCAGCTTACTTGCAAAAAAAATTTGGATGCAATCAGAGGCATTACAGAAGAGGACAAATGAGGAAGAAAGGCAGTCCTAAATGGTACTGTGGTCAGCACAATGGCTACTGCAGTAACCGTTAATATGGTGACCTGTCTGCAGAATGTATCTGTAAAACAGTCCTTGTCAGGCTTTGCTTAAAGCTATTGATGAAAGCTAGTTTCTGCAAAATATTATGACGAAAGCAGTTGTTATCGTGCCCAAATTCTGCCTCAAATGGTATTTGTGGCTGGTGTTACTAAAGATAAAAAAAGTACAGCTTCTCAGTTGTCTCGCTAATGGTGCTACTCAGGGGCACATCGGCCACAGGTGGCCACCAGTCACCTGTATCATCCTGTTATTGAATTCAATACTGAGTGAACTGAAAGCAGCCTTACTCTTCTTAGCCTTTTCTGCTTGGTTTGCAGATCTTGTTTGTGCATATCCTGATAGTCTATCACTCGTACTATTTTAGTAGTAGAATAGTCACTAGAGGAATAATCTTTTTTTTTTTTTTCTTTTTCAGGTAACTGGAGTTGTGGGCAGAGCAGAGCTTTTATCATCTATCTTTTTTCTAGCTGCTTTTTTGTCATATACAAAATCTAAAGGGCCAGATAATACCATAGGTAAATAATTGACTCTGTATCACTTATACTAGAGCTCATAAAATGGTAATATAGGTGTACTGGTTATTCAGCAAATGTGTACCAAAAAACCTTCAGCCCCAAGATACCCATGTAATAGTACTTTCCATTATAAATTGCCTTTTTTCTTCTTCAAGACTTCAGCACTTTTTCAGTTGTTTTGTAACACCTAGAGTAAGAGACTCTTGCACTGACTTCTATTAATGCAAGTAAATAGAAGTATGCTGAGCCGCTTCAGATGGTCACAAGTAAGCTGCAAAGTTTCAATGGAAATGTAAGAGACTTGCCTCTTTTCCAAAGTCAAGTTGACCTTGTGAAAATTCATGACTCCCTATTAAAGAGTGTTCTGGTGAATTAGAAAAGATTGGATTTTTTTGGTTTTGTATCATAGATCAGTCCTTTGGCTTTAATTTGGTTCTTTCAAGTTAAGGGAGGGTTTTAAAGTGGATACATCTATACTATTGTCTATAGAGTAAAGCTGGTAGTCTTCCCCTTTAATAACAAATGGCATAATGAATAAGTTTATAGAACATAGCATCTTCAAACATAAAGAGCCAAAGTCTTCACTTTTTAGGTTAACTTACTTTACTAAATGTTTGGGTTTGTTGTAAGATGGAACATTTTCAATAATGCCTTCTTTATTTGCAGTGTGGACTCCAATTGCAGTGACTGTGTTTCTAGTAGCTGTTGCAACACTGTGTAAAGAACAAGGAATAACGGTGGTGGGGATATGCTGTGTGTATGAAGTGTTTATTGCTCAAGGGGTAAGCTGTTGAAAAATAAATTTAATTTCTTAGGAATTCTGCAATGAGACATTAAGTACTTTGAAGTGTCATATTTCAGCACTGACTTTTATGAGTTCAAGCTAACTATAGTTCGTTACATTTTTCAGATTTTTTTCATCTGAACTAATGTTTAACATACATGGTTCATGATGAGGAAATCCAGTGACTTCTATTTTGTCCTTTACATGCCATACAGAGATGTTATCAAATACACTCAATAAAGAACTGACATGTCTTAATGGAAACCTAAGGTTTTAATTGATTGAGGTTTACAAAGACTAGCATGTAACAGTCCTGATTAAAGTCTGAGGTACATAAAGATGGGGGATTATTTGTTTTAAATTCCTGTAGTAAAAATAGAGAACATATTATATATAAATGCATTTCATCACATTCTAATGAATAACCAGACATTTTGGAGTAGTCTTATTTGAATCAATAATATTCTTATGAAATTTGTTGTTCTATGAATACTTTTAAATTTAATATCTAATCTGATAGGTTTCATCTTAAGAATTGATAAGTCTTTAAGTTAATAGTAACTTTTGGTTTTGTTTAGAGAAACAAGGTGTTCCTGCACTGAAATTATTTTTGACTTTTTGGTAGTCAAACCATATGCAATTTAAAAATGTACGATTGTATATTCTAAGAAGATTTTTTAGTTTACTCTTCAATTACTTGAAGGAATATTTTGCAAGAACTGCACCAGTAAAAGCCGAAAGATTGTCTGTCTTGGCCACACGTATTCAAGGCCAAAATATCAAAATCACATTTTTTTGTGCTTACAGAAATATGTGTGCTTGTAACTATTGCCTTTGCAAGTCTAGTGAATAAGCATATAATTTTCAAACTGGATTTCTGAGGAAATCACCAGTATGTGACCGTACTTTTCAATCCACTCTTCCTTTCTTTTAGTAACTTTTGATCTGGTCCTTAGTTCCATGAAATTTTAACAAGTTTGTGTAAGTCAACTGAGTAGAAAAGATAAACTGAAGCTGCTTCTGAGGGCACAGGTGTAGTGTGAACTAAGACTTAGAGCAGTTCTCAAAAACTTATCAGTAGCTGTAGTTCAGCCAACCAGTATATGTGGAGGAATAAATCATCCCCAGCACAAGACATGAAGACATTATGAAAGAGCTACACAGGCAAGAAATTAGGGTATGTAAGGGGGAAGGGTGCAAGATCGTAATGTTCATGAGACAGGGAGAGATGAGTAACTGCAATAGAGGCATAAAATAGAAATCCAGGGCTATTCAGGAAGTGAATAGTATTTCTACCATTCCTAAGATATTTTGTTTATAAGGACAAGTTTTCAGAAGGGCTGATAATTCTAAAAATAGTGATTTCTCCTCTTCAAAAATCTATTTCATGGTTATACTTGATTTATTGAAGTCTCTGAAGATGGTACAATTTTTTTAATCTGTCAGTGCGAAATATAGAAAACTACAGGCATACAAGTTCAGGTGTGATAGTGTTAGCAAGAGTACTTGAATAGAGTTACTTTTTATTGGAATGGTGGACTTCTTTTGGGGAGTTGTCGTGAAAGCTCTAAGAAGCTGAGTTAAGTAACTATTGGGAGCAGGCATTTGGGGAAAACCAAGGAAACAAAAGATGAGGTAGCTCATATTTATCTAAGAGATTAATGAGCACACTGGTTATAAACACTTTTTTCCTTTGCAGTATACCTTGCCAGTGTTGTTGGACACAGCTGTACAGATTCTTCGAGGGAAGGGCAGTATTCCTTACTCTATGCTCCAAACACTGTTGAAGCTCATAGTCCTAATGTTCAGTACACTGCTGCTTGTAGTTGTCAGAGTCCAGGTTATCCAGTCTCAACTCCCAGTGTTTACAAGGTAATAGTAAAGTGTCTCCTATTTACAGACACTGATAAATAAGATGTGGCTTAATGAGGTCTGAATAAAATGGCCAAAGATACATGAACTTAAGTGTTTATGAACTTATTTTAATATTGGTAAGTGCTGACTGTACAATATTACTTTTTTTTTTTTTTTGTGAAATTGATAAATGGTATATTTCAGTGCCTGTTTACAAGAATGTCCAAAATATTTAGATATCTGAGCAGGCATTAATTTTTAAAAACTTACAGTTGTTAGTTTGTCTTAGTAATTAAGAAATTGTTTCATTACTAAAGTATTTTTTATTGACTATGTGTTTGACCCTTGGCTGAATACTCCAAACCTCTTAATAAGTTTTTCCTCTTCTACATAGGAAATAACTTTTTGATTTTTAGATATGTACTATGCAGAAAGCATGGTTGACTTTCGGATATGGTGCCTGAGGATAAATTTGTATGAATAATGTTAGAACTGAAAAACTGTAATTTATCTTAAAAGTGTGTGAGCAATGTAGAAATACAAGAATCTAATATTTTCCCTGAAAAATGAGGCAAACTATTAAAAACATAAACAAGGACCACTCAACCCAGCTTTAGGTGTAAATCATTCTGTTTCTTCAAACTTATGTTGATTATATCCCAAACCAATTTCTTAAACTGGCCCTGTCCTGTGCTAAGATGAATCATTGTGCATGGTTCTCAAGTTACACACCTGACAAGTGCAGGAAGATTAGGGTATTGTACATGTCTGTAATTGCTTGTTCTAGATATGAATCTAAAGCTGGTTTCTGAGCACAAAGTGGATCAAGACCATATTTTTTTTTTCTTTTCATTAAAAGCTTCTTTTTCTCCTTTCTTTTACTTTAGGTTTGATAACCCAGCTGCTGTTAGTCCATCCCCAGCAAGGCAGCTGACTTTCAACTACCTCCTCCCTGTAAATGCTTGGCTGCTTCTCAACCCCTCAGAATTATGCTGTGACTGGACAATGGGAACTATTCCTCTTGTGGAGTCTTTGTTGGATGTTAGAAATGTTGCCACCCTTACCTTCTTTTGCTTTCTGGGATCTTTGATTGTCTTCAGTCTCCGATATCCTGGGGATTCCTCCAAGACTGTATTGATGGTATGAAGGATGCGGGTTTTTTTGTCGGTTTTTTTAGGGGTGTAAGTGGCTCAGGCTGCTTGATCACATGTGTAATCTGCTGTGACCTGGAGATACTGTATGCATCTCCTTTTGGGCTAGAACGAACACATAAGAAAAGAGGAAAATTATTGTAGCAACAAAACTGTTAAATTGCAATTAAGTATGTGACTGTCAGGGATGAGATGGAGAAGAAGAGGCACAAGATGAGAATAAATGTGCTCCTCTGCAAACTGTATTGCAGCCTTTCTCAGGTATTCAGAACTCAACTAGCAAATGGGGGTTTTCAATAGAACTTGAATATGTTTTAAGGATTGGAATGCATTTCAATCCTGCAAATTGTCTACCTCATTTAAATGTCAGTAGTCATGCTGCATATTTAGCAAGTGACTTGATTTTCTCTCTTAGGTATAAAAGGACATACTTTGGTATTTAGGAGTATAAGTTTTCCTCTTTTGTTGTTCTTTTAACAAAGACACTGTTCTGTAGTCTTTTCCATATTCTAAGGAAAAACTATTTTTGTCAATCTGTAAGATCAGTTCCTGTTTTTCAGTACTATATGACCTTAAAACTAAAATGGATTAACAGAAAAGAATATTTTGGAGGAAAGGGAAAGCGGCAAATGAGCTAGGTTTTTTTTTTCATCCAGATCCAGTCATCTTTTTGATTATTTCCATTGCAAATTTTCACAATATTAGTAATTACCTTATACCATGGTTTTTATTAAATCAGTGCTGCAATTATGTGTACAGCAAACCTGCATCCATAGATCTTAGTCTGCTTCAGAAATACACTTTTTTAATATGTAACTGAGCCAATAAAAGTTTCAGATAGATGGGAATGTTTACGCACAATTTAAGACTAAGGATTTCTTTGCTAAGGTTGTATCAGGTTTTGTTTGAGGGTGTTTTTTTGATATTTGTTTTGATATTCCAAGTGGTTTTTTTAATAGGAAGGGTCTTCTGAGATTATTCACTCCAGCATGTGAGCCTCAGTGTTGCTTAACAAAGTATAATCTGTCTTTAATGAAAGTTGTTTTCCTTTAATATGTACCTATGTTGTGTATATAACCTTCAGTACAATGCTGATTTATTTTTTTTTTCAGACGTAATATCTATGTACCTGGAAGCTAATTTCTTAGGAAATGGGAATGCAATATTTTATATTAAAAATTAATTGTTACATACTATAACATTCAACAACACTGTAGGTCAAACCCCTTTTCTGCCTTCCAGTAAGTCATTAATGTCCTGTTGTAGACTGGATAGTCTGCCAAGGGAGAGGAGGAGAAAACAATTTCTTTCTGATGGCTTCTCAATCTGACTTCCTAGACAAATCATAGGGGTGTCTTTGAAGAAAGTGAATCTTTATTTATGATGCCAATTTACACAGATAATGGCAACGTTCCCGACAGCTATGTTGAATTACTAGTTTTAAAAAACTTTTTTCCACACTTTGTTCTCAGTTCTGCCAGTAAAGGCCTGAATTTGTGCTGGTCAAAATAAACTACTACCCTGGCAGATATGAATTCTACGTACTATCCATATGGATGCCACATGGTATTAGTATAATGGTGGCTTTATTGCAGTTGGTACTGCACTGTTTGATGTTTCACGCTAATGAGTCTCACTCTAAAGGAGCAATAAAGGGTTTTGTAAAGAGCTTCTGCCATTACAAATCTTTAGCATGTTTTGGCTCTTCCACTAACTAGCTCAGTGAGACCCTGAGATGTTATGCTGAAGCCTGATCTGAAGGGAAATGTCTCAAGTTACTTTTGTTTATGAGATCAGAAAATGTACAACTTTAGACCTGCTGCAGAATTAAAGATGTTTATTTGGACTTTGCAAAAAAAAATGGAAAGGAGGGATCCAAAATGAAGAAGAGAAGGGAAGTGACAATTATGTCTAAGCATGTCGTTCTGTATTTGTTGATGTGGATATGGATTTGGTGCTGTACCGCTTGAACGACAAGACAGAAGGGATTCCTTCTCCCACTTCCTCAAGTGCCAGTTCTCAGAGGATGAACAGTTCTCCCCAAGTACAATTCTCTCAGAGAATTCCACAGTTCTCCCCAAGTACAGTCTCAGAGGATGAACTCATTACTGGGAGATGCAAAAGTTGAAGGACTCATTATCAGTCAGTTTTCATCTGTTTAGTACCAGTCATCTCCAGGAAAAATAATTCTGGTGAGTGGGTACATTGTATTTCATTTTGTCATATTTTCATTTTTGCCATAGGTTCTAAAATTGTCTTTTCAAAATAACAGAACTAGGAGAGGACAAAACAGATAAATTGCCTTTTTTTTTTAACCAACTGACAATACTAAACTAACAAAAAATGGTATTGTATATTATAAATCGGAACACATGCTTTGGCAGGTTGATGTCATTATGCTGTTTGAAGTAATCAGTTATTTTTACATTAGTAAAGGACATGCCCTGGAAACAATGTATGAGCAGTTAAATTCTCTTATATTTTCTGTTTACTTTAGCCCTGTCACTTGACTGTCAGACTAAGTGACCTTTGTAAATAGGTTATGCTCTACATATTGAAAATGTTGAGTACTGAGAACAATACTGATCTAGAATTACTTTGGTGGCTTTTCAGTAGGTTTCAGAATCAAGTGGTGATCGTGGCCCTTGTGGCCCTTGTTTATTTCGTCATGAAATTTCTTGGGTATAGATATTCCTTTGTTGGCTGGCGAAATTTAATAAAAGCTTTTTAGTATCTTTTGATATTTGCTAAGTGTCCCAAACAAAGGTGCTTTACCTGTCTTCTGATAAGACCGCACTCCATGCTACTCAGCTGCAAACTTTGGTGTCTTGTTACTGTGCAAATGTCAGGAACAGGCAGGTATCCTTAGGCTTCTTGGAGCAAGTTTTTTAACACAAAATTTTAAGTGTTGTGCCAAGACATCAGTACTTCTAAATTTAGCAATATTTACTTCTCTACTATTTATGCTTACACCTCAGGCTTTGAAATGTTGCCTTGTGCACTTTTGACTGGTTACTTAGCAGTTCAGATACTCTTCATAGCTTATGGTCATATTTTAGAGTTGTGTCATATGTTTTTTTTTTCCTTCGTACATATTTTAATCATTTGTCTCTTTTTTTTTTCCCTCAGTTGTCTTGACCAGGATATTTTTTGAACAAAGCCTCTGCATCTGCTGAAAGACTATGATAAAAAGAAAGCATAAACGAACAGAAGAGAATGCATTTTTACCTGCAGCAGGGCTTTGAGTCTGTTGCCCAAGAAATTGTTCTTGAAGGACAGTGTACTAAGGAGAGGCAAAAGGATCTAAAGAGAAGTTCGGCACAGTGTTGTGTAATGTTTGTCATCAGAGGACTTGCACAGAGCAGAACATGCAAAAACCTTTTTATTAGATGCCTAGATCATAAGTGCTCGGTGGAGACCAAACACTTTCTGTATCAGCTGCAGAATCCTTTCCGTTCAAACTCATTGGAAAGAATTGGCTTTCACTACACATGTGTTGACTTCATGGGGCTGTGGGGCCGATGTCCTTACTATATTAAAACAACCTACATTTTTAAGCAATGATATAAACCAGTAACTTCTTAAGATTTTAAGAGGTGACTTCAAATCAGTTTATCAGAAGATTTCATAAAATAATTCATTTAAGCCTATGTACAAGCTTAGGTTATATTTTAGATTATAAAGCTAAGTACAGTTTATTCACATTGCAGTAAAAACATTTACAAAACAGCACATTGTTTCTAAAGCACACTTTGAACGTGCTTTTGTACTCACAAATGCGTTTGGCTTCTCAGAATAGAATGAAATAGAGAATGATACCTTCACTTCCCCTAATCCACCCCCAAAAGTGTGAAGGCATTTACTATAACTAAATTAAAAACTGAGGACTGACTTGCAGATAGCATAATGAATCCTGCATTTTAATAGAGATCTGTGTTGAGGCTTTTACTTTTACAGATCGGTAGGTGTTCTATAAGGAGCATGTACTATAAAAATGTAGAAGAGAAAGGGAGAGGAATGTGAAATGGTGTTAAATCTTGTCCCTAGGTAATCAACATATTCTCTATATTGTGCTTGTGATTTCTTCAAGGCTCAATTATGTATTGATTTTTGTGTAGCTTAATGAATTGCTGTGGATCAGCTGAGCTGTGTTAGTGATCCATGTGCATATTCTTGCTCCCTTGAAATATGAGCTAAAATCTTACTTGAAGTTTTAAATCAGCGTAGCATTTTTATATATGACATCTGAGACTGACTTTTAGACTGGGTGTGTTAATTATTTTAGTGTGGAAAAGGCAGTTACGCTTAAATATAGACAGAAGGTGACAGCCAGTTGTATTGAAAATTTCTAGAAAATTTCTCTTTCTTTCTTCAAAGAAATATTCCATTTCTGTACGGATTTTGGGTTTTGTAACCTGGAGGCCAGATATTTTGAAATAATTATTTAAGTCTCTTCTGGTACCAGAGATCGTAAAGCTGCTACTTAACTATCACCTGGGAACTTGAAGCGAATGGTCATGTCCCCTTCCTTTGCAGCAGATGGATTTCTCTTTCTTTTAATAAACATACCTGTTGTTAAGATGTCTGTCATCAACATAAGAGCTGCAATTATGCGGTTCACTGTCATTTTAGATATTTCAGGGTCCCCTTAGTGTATTATCTAAACACCGATGTTTATTCAGTGGCTGATTCTGGTTTTTGTTACTCACATTTTTTACAGAAACTAAAAATGGACTTCAGTGTATTGTAAAAGTAACTCCTCTATGCATTATATAAGCTAGTATAAATTTTTAATTGTTATAAAAAAATAATGTCCAAGGTTCTCAGACTGTCATGTTTTTGTATGTGGAACTCTCATTAAACATTGTTTTGAATTTGAGCTTTTGATCCTAGTGTTTTGTCATACAGCTGCTGTTTTCTGTAGTATAGAAAAGTAAATACATTTGTAGGCCCTTAAGTAAGGAATAATGTCATTCGCAGGTTAAAACTTGCCATTTTCAGAGTGGTCTGAATGTAAAACAGATCTTAATGTTTTAAAGAAAACCCAAACAAACAAAAAAAACCCCTCAAAGTTCTACTATGTATGTTTGTTTTTCTGGGATTATTTTTTTTTGTGATTTTGTAATTTGTTTCTTGGGTACAGTTGTCACTGCCTAATCTTCATTACTAATTCATTTGCATTTCCTTTCTAGGCACTCTGCTTAATAGTGCTACCATTCATTCCTGCATCAAACCTCTTTTTTCCTGTTGGATTTGTCGTAGCAGAACGAGTGTTGTATGTTCCTAGCATGGGATTCTGCATTTTAGTAGCACATGGGTGGAAGAAATTATCAAATAAAAGGTAAGGTAGTGTAAGTGGTACCTATAACTGGTTTAACTTACCTCTCTTAATTTCTTAAAAGATAACCATATTTATAACTGCAAGCTTTCCCAGTAGAGCTTTTACTAGTATGAAGACAGGCTGAGAGAGTTGGGGTTCTTCAGCCTGGAGAAGAGAAGGCTCTGGGGAGACCTTAGAGCAGCATTCCAGTACCTGAAGAGGGCCTACAGGAAAAATGGAGAGAGACTGTTTATGAGGGGTAATGAGTTTAAACTAAAAGAGTTAGATTAGATATGAGAAAGAAATTCTTCACTGTGAGGGTGGTGAGGCACTGGAACAGGTTGCCCAGAGAAGCTGTGGATGCCCCCTCCCTGGAAGTGTTCAAGGCCAGGTTGGGTGGGCCTTTGGGCAACGTGGTCTAGTGGAAGGTGTCCCTGCCCATGGCGGGGGGGTTGGAACTAGATGATCTTTGAGGTCCCTTCCAACCCAAACTGTTCTACGGTTCTATGAATTCAGTATGTTATAGCTCTTAATCTGTTTCAAGTTCTTAATGAACACAGAGCAATGACCAAGAAACAATTTGGCAGTCGTGGACAAATGACAAGAAGAAAGTTATTAGGAGACCAGTGGGTTATTCTGAGGATGTTAGTTGTTTCTTTAAAATATATACACGCATATACATATATATACACACACACATATGCATGTATAAAAATATATATATTTATAAGCATACATACACATATATATATATAAACCCTCTGACTGCACCAAACATTTTTAGAATGTGATGTAACTTACATTGTACATTGCTACAAAATAGACTTTACCTATTAGCCTTAGTAGTATAACCCATCTCTTTTCTGTGAAGAAATATAAATATTTTCTCTTTAAATCCTAGGTATTTTTAAGGATTAGGCAAAAAAGTTTCTTGGCCAGATTTGATTTGTACTTATTCAAAGGTGATTACTGTCTGAAGGTTATATAATGCATGTATATCAGTCTGCAGCATATTAAAATATCTTTTACTGATTAAATTTTCAGACATGCCATGCTAGGAATGGGTATTAGAGCCATTCAGTATTTGTTAAACTAAAGAATTTTTTTGATAACAGTTTCTCTGTAGGAAATTTTGCTCTAAAAGCATGTTTTGCACACACTTTTCTTTTTTTCTGTTATCTTCTACATTGATCTGCACATACCTGGATGCTTTACCCTTGTTACCCCAGTGGCATCCTATTGCTAGTTCAGACAAATGGAAAGGCAGCAATTCCCAGTCTGTGTTGTCGGCTATCATTAGAGGTGAGGCCTTGCAGTATAACTTAACTGATGCTGCCAAAGCTGACAGCTCTGGATAATGAGAAATTAGTGATACCTTGTGGAAGTGAGCAGAAAGTATTATCACAAATCCTACTACAGGGCAGTAAAAAAAGTAATGTGAAAGAAAGCAAGGAACCAGAAGAAGATGGCTGGAGAGGAAGAATTGGGCAGCAGTTTCATTTCTTGCAAAAATACTGGAACCAGCACTCTAAAAAGTCTTAGAAGGCTCCTAGCTTTAGAAATATGTGGAAAAAATCCCAACTTTTTTATAAGACTGGTGGGGATATAGATTACTATATGTGCCAGTTCTCACTGGTCACTTTGCTAATGTTTTAGAATTTCTCTCTTAATTCTGCTGTTCTACTTTTTTTTAATATTTTTTAAAACCAAGCACAGTAGTCTAAGTCTGCACTGCATTTTGTATGTCTTAAAAATGGAGGGGGGGGAACCTTTCAGTTTTTAGCAAACCCTGGTGAAGTATGTAGCAGTGTGAACAGCTGTCATGTGAGTCAAGTATAAGAACTAGCTGGCAATGGTGAACAGTCTGCTCAGGAAGGAGATATTTAAAAACAAAATGATATTCATAATTTTAGGAAGGCTACTGGATGTTTAACATGTTTTTTCAAATTCAGTTAGAATTCAGAGACCAAATGACCAGCGTGTTAAAGCATATTGTTTGTATCTGTTGTGGTTAAAAGTCAGTCATGTTTAAACTACAGAAAAATAAACTGCACAAAATTTAGATGATTATTCCTGACAAGCTTGTCACAGAGAATGACTTCTGCCCCAATTTGCAGCTTTAAAAATAAAGTTGCTACAAAGACACTAAACCTTTCTCCTATTTAGATATTACAGAGGCGCTACTATTTTAGTTGCTTATGGAAGATTGGGTCGTCTCCACAGCAGATCTCTCTATTAAGATGTGTTTTACAGTGCGGGAAAGATTGGTGATATATGCAGTAAAGAATTTGTGTGGAATTGTGGAAAGGACGGGATGATATGTTAGTTGCTTTTTTTAATTTTTTAACATTTTGTACAGTGTTTTGAAGAACTTCACTGTGTGACATTGTGATCATGTTCATGGCCTTAAATTACAGATAACCTCTAATAGAAGTATAATTTTTTATATATTTTTTGTTTACATTATGTGGACTGCCTTTGTTCTTAAGTGAATTACACAGTGATAACAAAACATCAGGTAAATAACAAAATTAACTTGAAATTGGACATTATTTTCTTTCAAATTTTGGAGTATGCCATTTGTTGATGAGGCAAATAAATTGGAATATACCATTTACAAATATAGTCCTCAGCTTATTTGACACCTAGTATATGAGATACTTATTCTAGTGTAAATTAGAATTGATTGTGTGCTTATAACAAGTCTTTGTTTGTTTGTTTTAATAGTGTGCTAAGAAAAATTTCTTGGGTTTGTTTGGCTGTGGTACTATTCACTCATGCCTTAAAAACACTGCACAGAAACTGGGATTGGGAGTCAGAGTACACATTGTTTATGTCAGCTTTAAAGGTACTGTATTCTGTTTGAAAAGGATGATGGAAAGTTTGTATTGCTGTTCTTAAAAAGCTGCGGTAGAGCATGATAAAAATGGAGAGAAATTATGCTTGTTTTGCCACTTTGATTTCTACTTTGACAGTATTAACATCTAATTAGTTGCTTTTGGGAATGCTTTAAAAGCAGTATGATGCACACATGGGAACTCGTGCAAGAAATAGATGATAATTTTTTCTTGTGTTAAAGCAGTCGAATGTATTCTCTATCTGGATGAAAGCACAATATGTTTCAGTACAAAAACCACAGAAAGTTTGCATAGAATAATTTCTTCAATGTGCATATGGCACGATAGGATACTTTGTACAACATCCTATAACAATTATAATGTTAGTATTAGTTAAGTATTAGTATTAGTTAGTATTAACGTTTAGTATTTCTAGGAGCAAATAACTAAAATGGATGTCAAGCAACAAGTTCAGTGTAATCCTACTGTATGTAGTGTTTTGTTACTCTTTACATATAGCAGCTTGATGAAATCTGTCATGTGCTGTTCATTTTTATGTCTGTAAGACATAGTTAAAAAAAAATCAGTTGTGTAATTTCAGCTTAATATGCATTGGTACCTTTTTTCCTGTTTTTAGGTAAATAAGAACAATGCAAAACTATGGAACAATGTGGGGCATGCGTTAGAAAATGAAAAGAATTTTGAAAGAGCTCTGCAATTCTTTATACAAGCCACACAAGTGCAGCCAGGTAAAAGCTTTGAGTAGTTCCCATTGAATGGTGTCTCTGCACTGCTAGAATTTCAGGATACTTAGCTTGCTTAACAAAATTTTCTCAATGATCTGTTTTCCTCCAACTGAACATGAAACAATGTCATATACTTAGTTGATCCATAGTTTTTTAGAAATAAACTCAAAAAAAGTCCTCCAGAAAAGCTTCTATCTATAAAAAGATGCAGACTTTCCATTTAAAACTATTATCTGGATGACATTCTTTCTGAATTAACTTAAACTGTAATTTCTTATGAAACATAATTATCATTTAATTTTCTTATTTAAAACTGAGATATATAAAAAAATTTAAAAATCCAGATAGTATCAAAGCGCACATTTACTCTATTTTACATATTGTTGCAAAAGAAGTTCTAGGTAGTACTGGAGGACCTTTCCTTTTTCCTTTTAGAAGCCTAACAAATAACCTTCAATTTATGTGCCTCTACTATAGCAAGAGATTAAAGATAGATACATGGAAGTATGACCTCCAACTTTTTACCATTTCCCAAGTAACTTTATAATCCATCTTTGGTTCATGGTTAAATTATTAGCTTCATAATTAAGATAAAAAATAGAATTGCTTTTTCTGTTGTTGGCCTTTATGCAGTACCTGTATTTCACGCTACTCTGAAGGCATAGATATTTATTTTCATGCATGGAAGTATTTGAAATACCATTCTTTTTTTTTTTTTTTATTAAGATGATATTGGTGCCCACATGAATGTAGGAAGAACTTACAAAAACCTGAACAAAACTAAAGAAGCCGAAGAATCATACATGATTGCTAAATCATTGATGCCACAGGTAATTAGTAACTTTATTTTACCTACCACCACATGAGGGAACTCTATCAGACCTATATTCATGATAGGTTTTTTTGTATTTTTCCTGAAACTCTGTGTTGCTGTATACTTTGAAGTCGTTAGGTATTTTTTTAAAACCTGCCTATTAAAAGAGTAGGTTGTATACAATCATGGTTGTTAAAACTGCTAACTTGGAACTTCTTTGTTAAAACTATTTTAAGTTACATTTTATACTGCTGTGGTTTTGTGGTTTTTTTTTCTGAAATTGAGGATATAAAAGAAAGCAGCAGTTAAATGTACACCTACAGTTTCTAGTCACAGTGGGTTTATTTTCAATTACAGCTAATACAGTGATGATGACTGAGTTTCTGAGGCCTCAAGAGAAGGCTTAAATGCAGCATTGGAGGTGGGAGAAGGTAGCTGCAGCAGCAACAAAAAAAAATCCCTGCCTGAACATACTTATGAAAATACGTGTTTTGTTACCTTTACTATTTGTTATATTTATACCTAGCAAATATTACTTATTGTAGCTCTTTAGGAGAAAGAGAGGAATATTTTGGAGAACGTATGAAGGTAACAAAAGCTGAGGTTAAAATGAGACTGACAACAAAAATCAGCAGTCCCTTGAGTAGAAGTATGGCATTAAAATGTTTTCATACTGAAACAGTATGAAGATTCCAGATGGATAAAGTATAAGCAGTACAACAGTTGCAATGTCATAGCATTTTTATTTTTAATGACTACTTTTCATCTGTTATATCAGTGGCTGGTAAAATATTTTTTACACTTCTCTTAGGCTGGAGGGTTAACAAAAGGAATGAAAATGTCTGATAGAACGTCAATTTAAGCTTTAAGAAATATTCTTTGTCTAAATGGGGAAAGTTTTGCGAGGTCTGGTTGCTTTCTAATGGCTGTCTGCATGAGCCCAATTAGGTAGTACCAGAGCTTAATTAGCTGACTTCTTAAATAAGATATAAAAGTCATGTATGTCTTTACAGAATTCAAGAAGAAAAAAATACTCTGTTTATAGTTTCGTATGATTTTCTGGGAAAGAAGAATTGATATTTTTAGGGGTGAAACCCTAAAACAAATGTAGCAGAGTGAAGAGGAGATCTATACTGATTTTCTTTCATATTTTTACTCATATGTGTTTGATACATACATTCTTTTTGACAGATTATTCCAGGTAAAAAGTATGCAGCAAGAGTTGCTCCTAACCATCTGAATGTTTATATCAATCTTGCGAACTTAATTAGAGCAAATGAATCTCGCCTTGAAGAAGCAGATCAATTATATCGACAAGCAATTAGTATGAGACCAGATTTCAAGCAGGCTTACATCAGCAGGTATCTTTTTAAATTTTATATACATTTTCTTGAATAAACATTTATGTATTTGCAGTGCTATGAACAGTATTTAGTTCGTACAGTTGAATTAGCTGCTGGAATGGATTAATTTCCAAATGAGAAGATGAAGATTTGGGGCAGTAATCAATTATTCATTACAAGTCTCTGTTCTTTTAAATTCCTGCTTCAAGTGATGTGTTTCCACAGAGGCTGCGTATTCAAACATTGTATAGCAAGATGCTTCCATTAGATTTCTTTATGAATCTCAAACTGAAATTTCTAATCTCCTAGTTTAGTTTTGAACTAAAAAGCTTTTGGTTAGTCTGAATCATGGAGCTTTCTTTATCCTTCTTTGTTAAAGGCGGTCCAGAAAATGCCATACTTAACAAAAAAGCACATAAATGTCAGCTAACTAGATATAAGTAATGTGGCTGTGGGTATTGAGGCTTCTGTTCGCTATTTTGTTAGTTGTGATTCCCATTGGGACTTAGGGAGGTGCAAAGATGCCTAAACTGTAGTTGTTGCAGTGCAATTACACAGCCCACATCAGAAATCTGTGATCACTTCTTTTTTTGTTTTTGTCCTGCATATGCATTTGTTGTATACAGACTTTTGATAGCTGAAAGCTTTGGGAATGGGATGTAAAGAAGGTCCTGTATTGTTTTGTGCTTAAAACAAACGAATGAACAAAAAAAAAGGTAAAACACTGTTATCTCATGTTTACTGTCTATAGGAAGGCAAACTTTTTAAAAAAACCTGCCAATTATTTTCATATTAGTATGAATAAAAGTTGAATGTTAAATCTGATTTTTCAACAGGGGAGAATTACTTTTAAAAATGAACAAACCTCTGAAAGCTAAGGAAGCTTATCTTAGAGCTCTGGAACTAGACAGAACCAATGCAGACCTGTGGTACAACTTGGCAATTGTTTACATTGAACTGAAAGATCCAACAGAAGCACTGAAGAATTTCAACCGAGCACTAGAACTCAACCCAGCGCATAAACTAGCATTATTCAACTCAGCGCTGCTAATGCAGGAATCTGGTATGTTAGTTGTCCCTTATAAATACTGTGTATTTGCATTTATAGGAGCCATACTATTTAATTTTTTTTAATGGACTTTTATTTTTGGAAAGCAGAAGTTTGTAGCATTAGAAAGAAGAAACTGTTTATTGTAATAGCTTTAACTTACTGGTCGTGTATGGAATTTGTGCAAAGTGTACATGTACCTTAGCTGATCACCATCTTTAATATAAGTGCTCTTTTACAAAACAACATTTTATATAAAGAATAGTGTTACACAAGCATTTTCAAAATTGTGCCTATATAATATTGAAAAATCATATCTAGTAAAATATGTGTAGTAACTGTTTTACATTTATATTGATTGATTTAATTTTTCATTGACTAAAAATATAGCTGACTTTTGTGGGCTTTAAATCTAGCCCTAGGAAATGTTAATATTTTCATAGGTTCCTCTGTAATAGTGCTAATTAGGGTGAATTAAATCGGATTTTCATGACTCTTTTTTTTTTTTATATATATAGCTTTCTAGCTGTATGGGTAAGTGTAAGCCTTTTTGTGAATTCAGGCTGTTGCAGAGTATTTGGCAAGTACCTAGTAAGGTTTGTTTCCCTTTTGTTGGGATGGTTAACTACTCCTAAGAAAGAGATAATACAGAGTTGATTGGAGCTGATGCAAATGGATTTTCTCCATCTCTTCTCACATTGTAAGTTAGGTAGTACAAGAAATGCCTTGCTTCTTGTCTGTAAAAGCACAAGGGACTTCAAACAAGCAGAAGTATTAGCTATCTAGTATTCAGTTATTCCTGCGGGAAGGTGCAGTGCTGTTTCAGGAGGTGAAAGAAGGCAATTAAAATAAGCTCCCTGCTCGCCCATCCTTCAGTAAGTCTGTGCCTGGAATTCCTTACTAAAATATGTTCACTGGAATATTCAAAAAAATAGCACAGACTACAGGCTAGTCTAGCTAATCCTAGTATTATCAGATAAGAATATTTTAGTATATCTTTTCCAAACTTTGATGCAAATTAAAATATGGGAGTTAGATTTTATTGTTTTGTGTTAGAAGATAGTTTAGCCTGGCTACATCTGAAGTCACCCTATGTGATCTCTGACTTTAAACTCTTTGAATCTATCTTTAACAAAATGGCATCTTCCACTCCAAGTTTCCCTCTGTAAGAGCTGGTTTGTCAGAACTGATGTTTTCTTTGCCTTCCATCTGCTCAACCGTACATGGAAATAACTTCTCTTAAACTTCTAGAGGCACTTTTTGTATCTGTTATACCAAACCTAAATATAATTGAACAGATAATAGAATAACTATGCTGACTTTGGCTACGAGTCAACTGTAAGCAGTTTCATTCTGTAAAGAAGGTAGATGTCTCTTACGGTTACATAGCAATGATAAAAAGCAGCATTTTAAACTGTTTCCCTTTTACAATTGTGTTTAATTTGTATAAAAATTAGCATTTTAGAGGCCTGGTCTAAAAATCCGTCAGAGTAAATCTAGAATTTTTCTGTCATTTAGGTGATGCTCGGCTTAGACCCGAAGCTAAACAAAGACTATTACATTATGTGAAAGAAGAACCACAGGATGCAAATGGGTACTTCAATTTGGGTATGCTGGCAATGGATGATAAAAAAGATATGGAAGCAGAGGCATGGATGAAGAAAGCTATAAGCTTACAGCCAAACTTCCGAAGTGCTTTGTTCAATTTGGCACTGCTTTATTCGCAGACAGCAAAAGAATTGATGGCTTTGCCTGTCCTGGAAGACCTACTGAGATACTACCCAGATCATACCAAAGGTCTGATTTTGAAAGGAGATATCCTTATGAACCAAAAGAAGGATATCGTTGGAGCAAAAATGTGTTTTGAAAAAATTTTGGAACTGGATCCCAAAAATGTACAAGGAAAACATAATCTTTGTGTGGTTTACTTTGAAGAACGAAACTTAATAAAAGCGGAAAAATGTTTGGTTGAAACACTAGCACTGGCACCTCATGAAGAGTATATTCAGCGTCATTTAAACATAGTCAGAAGTAAAATTGCATCACTTAGTGCTACGGAACAGTCATTGCTTCCAGCAGATGGGACTGCAACTGCAGCTGCAGAAGAGAAAAAAAATTCATTTCAGAATTTGAAAGGAGTAAAAAATGAGCAGAAACCCACCCAAACAATAGTTGATAACAATAAAGGGCACTCAAAAAATAAGAAACAAACAGAAAAAAACAATATGGAGAAAGAGACTCCCAAAAAATCTACAAAAGAAATCAAAGACATTGAGAAAAAGAGAGTTGCTGCTTTGAAAAGACTAGAAGAGATTGAACGTATATTAAATGGTGAATAGCCTTTATTATGCCACAATAGAATAAGAGGAGAATACTATTTTTAAATGTTTAATATGTGATCCAACTGGAAAGTGGTTTCAGTACTTTGAAAATAGAAATAATGTTGACTGCATATCACTTAGCAAGCAGCAAAAGGCATTACAATGGTTTATGTGAGAAAACTGCAACTTTTAAATAGGATGTGGGAGATGGGGTGGGAATCAAAGGAAAAAAGGTTGAGAATAATCTGAAATGCAGAATCCTAATAGTGAGAAAATAGCACTCATGAAAATCATTGGTAGTCAGGGATATTCAGTAATGCTACTTTCAAAGAATCAGTATAAGAACTGAGTGGAGAATTAATGGGATAAGCCAGACACTGCTGCTTTCCCCCATATAAATCTGTTTGTATTAACATTGTCTGCATTTCAGTTTACACATCATCAGTTTACATCTTTCTAGACCTCTGCTATACATGAAAAAGAGTTTTTCTTTGCATTATTTGTTTCCAGAACTTAACAAAAAAATCATCAAAATGCTACTGGTTGTAGTATAGGAGGATGCAACAACACACTAAATTTTTCAGTTACATTCTAAATATGGAATGATACAATAACCTTTTAATTGTTCTTTACTTACAATGCTAATGATTTGTACTGTTTTATCTGATAGAAATTTTATGGTGCTCTTAAGATCTTCACACTATGCTTTTACTTTTAAAGGAAATGTGAGGTTTTTCTTCAACTGTCAATCATCTGGTTGTTTTTTAAAAATATATAGAAAAGGGTGGTTTTCTCACTTTTCCCCCAGTTCGTTGAATGCTGATAAATGCACTTTTGGTACAGTAACCAGTATGCTATGCAGTAGTCCTTGTTGACTTTGTATCAATGCCTGTGGATTGACTCCTTGGTGTAGTAAATTCTTCCTTGTTTGTAGCAAACTGGCTTTACTATTTGTGTCATTGGAACAGTATTTCTATTCTCATTGCTTTTTACAACACTAATACAAGCAATGATTGCTGAAGGCAATGTGATAATAATAAAGCCACTGAATTTAGCAATGTTTAGCACAAGAAAGTGTAGATAGTGTCCTTCCAAATACTAAGTTCTGTTGTTTTGATACTTTGTCTTGGGGGTGTGTTTTTTATTAAATATTTATTTTGACTACTAAAATATTCCCACTTACACTTTTCCACTAATGCATTATTTTAACTTCTTACATGAAATTAAAATCTTCGCAATTTCAGTGTTGCTTTTATCCTTGTGCAGTGCATGTATTTTTGTTTAAATACAGATTACCTAAACCAAATGTTTTCCATAATTATGAGGAAAAAAAAGAAGTGTAAGAGCTGAGTTCAGTGATAATTTAATTAATCATTAAATCTTACTCTTCATGTTTTGTCTTATTTCATGATGTAGAAATAAGTATTCCTTAGCAACTCTGCTATTTAAAATTAATCGTTTCGGTAACTGCTCAGCTTTCTGCCCCGGGCGGTAATCCAGCTGTTAGATGTAATATTTATCTCTATGGGAGTGATCTTAAATTGTTGAAGGCCTTGCACAGAACTTTTCTTTTTTCTGTGTAATTCGTAATGTTACCACAACAATTGCTTGCATGGCAATAACTAGAAGGGAAAAAAAGTGGGCTTTAAAAAACATGATTTAAAAGCTGCAGACGGGAACAGGTATGTGGTGTGCAGCTGTTCTTCATACAAAAGTTTTAAGTGCTGCTTGTAGTGAAGTGCTCCCAGGAATCTATTGACCACACCTTGAAAATTGCTGTTTTATCTTGTCTGGGAATAACTCAATTACTTGTAGCTAAAATAGCTGGTGTGTTGACCTGTATAGAAACAGTAACTTGCATATTGAGTCTTCCCTCCAAACCTTTGTTTTACAAAAGAATTATTCATTGTTCTGGGTGATTCAAAGGAACATTCATTTGAAAATGGAAGGAACTAAGTAGTAAGAAAAGATACTTTCTCTTTGATGGAGCAGGCCAAGATTCTCCTCTCTCTTATATCAACATCTCCCAGAATCTCATTGCCACACTGCTTTCATTTGGTTTGCACCTGAAGACGGGAGGAAAGGCACATTCTCAATTTTCTGCAGTTGAGCCTCTGTCTCCAAGTAGCTGCTTTTTATGGACTAGCAAGGATTGTTAGATTTATTGATGCTAAGAGGTGCCATCGGGTTTAACTAAAATCATCAGGCTAACGTAAACTGAAGGATGCTGGAGGTAGATCTTTCAGTCTGTTAGCAGGTACTATGCCCACTTTGTCTCAAAGAAATTTCAGTAAAAATAAGTATTTTGACTAATGTCAGTGCATTGAGTTGTATTTAGCCTGTTAGGATGTGTCAACCATTTTAAAATTAAACTCTCATGAGAAAAACGGTTCAGTAAATTGAAGTGGCACAGCTTCTGAAAAAATAAAATAGCATTTGCTCATAGAAAAAAACTATCAGAATAATTTTGGCTTCCCTTGCAGATAGAACAAAATAATCAACAGGTGTCTTTTCCCCTTTCAGTTCAACCTGCCTTTTCTTCATTCCATGCTATCCTTGTGCAAGATTACCATAAAAGTCATCCCTTTTCAGAGCTCCCAATTTCACTAATACACAAGAACTGGGAATTTCCAAGGATGGGACAGATGTACTACAATAATTTGTAGCTCTCTTTTCAGACAATGCAATTGCTGTGGTTGCTGAAAAAACCTGAAGAGATAGCTTATATCATCTTTGCATACAACACAAATTGTTCAACCTTAGATGTACAGCCGCAATAAGCGTATTGTTATACACATTTGTACTTATAACTTCAGTGCAGACTCATGCATTTGTCAGATTAATTTTTGGGTCTTTCGCAAGTGATTATATGCATAAAAAGAGTAAATACTTGTAAGGATTAATTGGATATGCATGCATATATAGTTAGAATAACTGGATGCTTATGGTTAGTGCAGTTGCAGAAGTAATCATAGAATCTTTAAGGTTGGAAAAGACCTCTAAGATCATCAAGTCCAACTGTCAGCCCAACACCACCATGTCTGCTAAACCATGTCCCAAAACGCCACATCTACATGTTTTTTGAACACCTCCAGGGACAGTGACGCCACCACGTCTCTGGGAGGACAATTTGTACAATTGTGGATTAATCTTTGAGTATAAAAGTTCATGTGTTTTGCACATGAAACATCCTAGGACTAAATTTTCTAAGTATTGCAAGTGTTCTTTATTTTCTAAGTAGTAGTATTTGTAAAAACATGATCATATCTGATTTTTTTTTTTTCTAGTGTATTGGCTTTTATCAGCTCTGTCAGGGAAATAGTTGGGTATTGTGAAGAGTAGGAAACACTTTCCTGCAAACAGACATGTAGAAAGTGTTGGAGATTGGAGTCACAATGGATTAAGTGGGACAGAAATTCTTGTCAATGTCCAGTGCAGTTTGCACCTTGATTAGGCAATACTGGGAGAGAGACAATTTACTCCTAGCTTCACATGCAGGAAGGTTAGCTGTGGATGGAGGGTTTCATGTAAAAAGCAAGAAAATAAGCAACACGTGTGCTGACAGAGCCTTTGACTGGAGGAAATTGGAAGATGTAGTTTTCTGCTCAGTTGTGGACACTTACTGAACTGCACCTATTTCAGAACAAACCAGCAATTTCAGTATATTTAAAAAGAAAATTAAATGCTGAAATCTTAGGTAAGTGGATCTTGACTTCAACCTGTGAAATAATACTGGTGTAGCTCTGAAACCTAGAGAGACTTACCCAGCTCCAGATTCCCTGCTAGCTCTGGCATGAAGTGGGCACACTCAGAAGATCCCCCTGCTCTGAAGGGGGCACAGGTTTGTTCTGTGCCCATGGGATGTGAAGGATGCACATTTTTTTGTTTTCCAGGAGGTGTGACAGTGTAGTTACTGAGTTCCTCCTAAATGGATTTAAACTGCTGACAACATGTTTTATTACTCAGTCTTCACCACAGCTAGCTGAACCACAGACCTGAGGGATAGGCAACCTCATGTTTAATGGGACTTCAGAGCAAAGCACTGACCTGCAAGAAATGCCAGTTTTTTGATGGAGGAGTAAACTCTCTCCCAAAGCAGAAACTGCTGAAAGACTTTGGTACTGTACGTGTAGATTGTCCAGCGCAACATCTCAGCAGCTTTCCCTTCCTCACAGCTGTTGAGCGTTCCAAGACTAAGGAGCACTGAGAGCAGCTCTTTAGGCACAGGAGTTCAGCCATCTGCCACTTCATTGTCAGATGAGGGTTTTGCAAGATCTGGCTGTGCCTTATAACTTGTAAAGCTGCTCGCATACCTTCTTCCAGGGTATGGAGCTTTGGGCTGAATGTGCAAGGATTTGTTCCTTCCTGAAGTTTACTTGGAAAGACTTAACATAAGATCAAAACAATTCTGGGAAGTTAGCAGCCTACCCCAGGCTCATACAAAGTTGGCATCCCAGAAAAGCACCAGGAAGAGTCTCAGTTTGGGTGAGTGCATGTGGCTGGGCTTTTCCTTGCAGAGGCTCTATAATCCACCTCTGGCAAAGTGTGAACCTGCTACTCCTGTAAAGTCTGTCTTCAGCCGCTGCCATGAAACCAAAATTGTGCTGCTCTGACTTTCAGCCTAGACATCCTGCTTTACTTAGAAAGCTTGAGAATGGAAAGGCTGGAAGACATGTCTCCTTCTACCCATTCTTCACCTCAATTCCTCCATACAAAACTGTAATGCTCTTTCTATAGTGTTTACACTGATCAAGAAGAATCTATCCCCCAAACCTCCAACATAGCTTAAGAGAAGGTAAGACATTCCTGTCTGGGGTCAAAATAACATAGCGTACTATTTTACATATATTACTATGGTAGGGTTTTTTTTTTTAATAATCTTTGATAGATTTCATGTTATTTTTATAGTATTCAGTGAGTGGTAGTGCAGCTAGTATTCCTTGAAAACTTAAAAACTCCTTTCTGCAGTCTAATATTTAGTGCTGTCCTGCATGCTGGCATATATATCTCTCTTGCAAATGGAAGAAATTTTGTATACAAACATCAGTGTCTCTCAAACAAAAAGCAATGATGCGAAAGAAAAAATCCAAGCCAAAATAAAACACCCCAAAACAAAACAAAACCACCACACAACCTTCTGTATAATTATCTTGGGATGGGAACAACATAATAAGCTGTATAACTTTCTTGGGCTAGGA